GAGCCATTGTCAGTCTTGGTCAGAGAAACTCCTTTTTAGAGTGGCCAGCAGTAACTGCGGAGACTCTTAACTAATCAAAGTTCTGAGAATAACTGAAACTTCTATATCACCCTCCCAAAGTTCAGGGAGCATCAAGGAAGGCAGTGCAGAAAGAACTTAAGAGCCAGAGGAAGGATGGGAATGAGGTGGAATGCTCTCTTTGGACATGACATAGAAGAAAGGCACCTCCCCCAGAACCCATAGGCAGATGATGGTAGCTGAGGAGGAAGGGCACATAAGGCCTCACCTCTCCCAGAGTTACCTACACATAGGTAATGGCCACTGAAGGGAGGGACAGATATTTTCTTCAGTGGTACAACTACAGGTAAGGAGCACGTGCCCCTGTAAATCATCCCTCACCCAGGATCCTGTAAGCAATCCTAAGGAAACTCAATGGGTCATCAAAACTTTTTTTAAATAAATAAAAACATGAAAGTAGAAGAGCAACTAGATAGGAAGAAGGGGAGCAGTGGGAGTGGGGGGACAGAAGGGAGTGAGGCGGTGGTGACTATGCTAAAATACATTGCACATATGTATGAAAATGCCATAACGAGATCAGTGTTACGTGTAATTAATTAAACATGCTAATAAACACACATTCAGAAGCTATACATCAGAAGAAGGTCCTAAAAGCTTTAGAATGAGAACCGAGATCAGAACTACACATTTTCCGCAGTTCCCACCATGTTCTAGACCTACCGTCAAGCCTTGTACCCATCTTATTTCACTTCATCCTTACAGGAGAGACTGTAGAGCAATGACACTGGTTTGGGTTTTGGTTTTTGGTGGTTTAGTTTTTCAAACAGGGTCTAAGTAGCTCAGGCTTGCTAGAAACTTACTATGCAGCTAAGGGTGAGCCTCTGATCTTCTACCTCAGGATTACAGGCCTGCCTCACCATGCCAAGTCAGAACTCTGTGTCTCAGACAGCCCCCCTGAAATGAGTAGTTAGCCATACTAAACTCTAACATCATCCTAATAGTAGCACTATTTTCATTTGCCTACATATGGATTTACACTGTCTCAACAGATGAAAAACCCAAACTGCTTTGCTACAAAAAACGCACAAACACTGAAGATTTCAGAAAATTTTATAGCAATATAATTACAATTATAGGAATAATTATATATCTGCGCTGACTCTAATAACAATACATTCTTTTATATGCCTTTTTTTCCCTCCACTTCATTTTTTGCAAATATAATGGTCTTGATTGGAAAGGAAATTTAAAACAAAAATAATCCTCAATCAATCTAAAATCCCATTTCTTTTTTTATTTTATTTTTATATATTATTTTTATTTTATGTGTATGAGTGTATTGCCTGCATGTGCACCTGTGCAATGCTGCAGAGGTCAGAAGAGGGCTTCGGATTCCCCTGGAACTGGAGTTAAGGACGGTTCATAGCTGCCATGTGGGTGCTGGGAATAGAACTTGGGTCCTCTGCAAGAGCAGTCCGTGCTCTTAACTGCTGAACCATCTCTCCAGCCCCTAAAATCCCATTTCTAACATCTGTTTGTATCTAACTTCATTCAATCAGAGCAGCTGCTGAGTTTAGGTAAAATAGATTCTCAACCTGTTTCTGTAGTATTGTTATTAACAGCCAGAGAAAACTGCTCCTAAGCAACTTAATCTTAAAAAAAAAAAGTAAGACAGTGTCACATAGGACCTCACTTGCGGAAAGAAT